GAGAACCAGGTAACATCAATCCGCTCTGTGCTTTCAGGCATTGTTCAACCTAATCTTCCATACTCCTCCAAAGATTCGTCATGTTTTTGATCTCCCGCTTTGTCTGCATGCATGCGTGTGTGCGCAATAGTGTGAGCGCATGTGTGTTAACATGCGATTGATTGATTGACTGTTGGTGACGACTAGACGAGCGCATAATTTTCTCCTTTCGCTGCAGTCACATTAACATATAAAGTATCTGATTTATATATCTGATTTCTATCCAATTAGGTCCAAGGCTGGTTGCATTTAAGGGGATCTGATTTGTGGTTGAGTTTATTCTATTTTACAATAGTGGATTATTTCAACATGATATACAAACAGTAAGAGTTTCGTTTTATTTTCTTGTATTTAAAGTTGAACGTTTAATGTGACTTTGCATGTCTTGTCACGGTTTAAATGTTGAGCCACATAGGTTATTTGTACTATCATGGTACGGTAGCCCAAATGTTTAAAAAGTGACATCTTTTGAGCTGCTTTCAAGCTGTTATTTTCAAAGACTTAAAATCTACGCATTCGTGCGTTTTAAACTTTCCTCTCAGTGTCTGCACTCCTGCCGTATTTTACTGAATCCTGATATCATATTTTAAGGAACGGTGTGTTTGTCATTTGCAGCGTTGATATAGCTACCGATTATAAAATGAAATTAGGCAATCCAAACAGCGAACAACCTACTGCTGCAACAATGCCACACATCTGATGTGCATCGCAGGGCGAGGTATTTGGTGTTTGGCTTTTCCCATCCAACAGCAGTGTGACAGCTAGGAGATAAATTGACCTGAGATCCAATACACACGCATATGATACTTTTCACAAGTAAGGAATCGACCATGAGAGGAAGCACTGCTGCTTTGCCACTGCTTCTCCACATGTGATCCAATATTTTTTTTGCATTAAGAACAGCTTGCCCCCACCCCATCCTCCAATGAATTATTGTATCACCCCGAGTTTAAGTGGTAAAACTAAGAAACTAAGATTGCCTGTCAGAATAGCACTCACATCATTGACATCTGCACTCATCCATTGATTGGAAATAATGAAAGATTGGCTTTAATGAGGCATTTTACCTCTCTACTCACTGGAACGAGTGACTAGATCAGCACACACACACACACACACACACACACACACACACACACACACACACACACACACACACACACACACACACACACACACACACACAGATATACCGTATATAGATTGTTTTCAGTCTTTTCTTCTTCTCCTGTCATATTGACCATTGGCATTGTTCATCCAGGCAACACCCTGTGAGAGATTTCCCGGGCCACCGAAGAAACAAGCTGTGATGACATGGCTTCTTTGATGCTACTGTTACTTCTTTTTCAGTACAAATCTTAATTGGTTGAGGTAATGGAAACATGGCTCGGCATGGTCTAATTTTCCTCTTGTCAGTCAGGATTTCTCATGCTTCGTTTAAAGCTTGGATGCGTCATCTGGATTAATTTTGATTTGCAGGACCCAATTGATGGACAATTATACCATATGGATGTATTTTAACCACAGTGGATCATGTGAGGAGCAGAATTTGGACTCAGAAGCAGACAGGTCATGGAAGTGGAGAAGTAACAGTCTTTATATCCAAAATTACAAAGTAACAAAAGAGAGCAGGGCTGAATGGAGAAAGCACGGAAGAAAGCTTGATGTTTTGACAGCGAGTCACTGAGCAACTCGAGTTTACACACTGTGCGACATCAGACCTTGCCCAATCCTATTTGACCAAATATCCATCCATCCATTATCCGAACCGCTTATCATCACAAGGATCATTAAGTGTGCTGGAGGCAATTCCAGAAAGGTGACAACCTAAAGGACCATGTCAACTGACAACATCAAAGAATCATCCCAAAACACAGTCACGAACAGTCACAACGACATTGACATTGTATAATTGTGATTGGGCATTAATGTATTTTATGTTTTTTTTTTTTTTCAATGAATGCAACAGAGGGACAAGTAACACACTCAAACTGCTGAGGCAATATGCATGGACAATTTTTTTTTCTCTCGAAACTGTTTTTCTCATTTGGACGATGGAGAAATTTGGAAGTGACGAAACATAATTGTACAGCTGAGAATTTCACCTAATGTGTTCACCCTTGTTGTTGATGACGTTCTATTGCATGCATAATATTCTATCAGTATTATTACTGCTACCATTAACTCGAGTAAGTAACCTGAACCTTTGTTCTCAAAATACGCAAATTGTATTATTCTAGCAGCAGTAGATGTAACTTTACAGCAGTTGCCAATTAGAACCTGTGCAGGGTCTGAACACAGATGCCTTTTTTGAAGGACTCAGACCTATTTTTTTTCTTTTTTTCTAAATCCATGTGACTTAACAAGCACATTTTACTGGACAGGGTGTTGGTGCTCAAGTGCTTGCTGTCACAAAATATTTGGTGATGAACAGTAATTGTTGCTAGTCGTGATGTTTCCC